AAAAAAAAAAACACATTTTTCGTCCAGAAAATCTAAAAATCTTAGAAAAGGTGGAGAAGGACGTGGTTTCACTTGGCATTTTCAATTGACGTCAGTTGGCACAGAAGAGAAACGACTGGCGTGTTGTTTTGGACTCAGGCAAAATCGCTTAAATAGGCGGTTACAGCGCCCATAAAAAGAGGAATACTACATTTACTAGCCATAAACGAAAATTTGTTTGTGTATATATTCATTTGTCCGTGCTGTCAATTGAAATTGCCTCAACTAAATAGAAAAAAAAAAAACAAACAGAGTTGATCACAAATTGAGCCAGATTTCTATCAGTATCACATCGATGTTGAGTTTGCGCAACTTTTCTTTTTCCAAATAATGTACAAAGCAAGTTAATAAATGAAATCTCAATCGGCTATCACTGAAACGCAGCTAGCAACTGTATACGCGAAAAAACAATATTGCCACTTTTTCTCATTAAACCATGTTCGAATCGTGGAAAAGTTGCTTTTAGCATTTAGAATGCAGAAATGGAGTTGAATTTAGTTGCATTTAGGTGACGAATTTTGTATATAGATAAATGTACGTTTAGAGTAGCATTTAGAGCTACTCATGAAACTTGTGAGAGAGTAACTTTTTTTTGACGCTCTAATTACAGCCCGGAAAGCATGTGGAACAAACCTGTTATTTCAAATTGACTTGTCGCACATTTCTGCTCGGAAAAAGATCCTGGCTTTTTGGGGCACGAAGAAGAAGACATTTACGATCCAAAAGTGGAAGGTATTCGCTCTCTATTACCCATTTTTATTGCGTGAGGAACGCTTTAGGTCACCCGCGGGGGGTCTCGTGTGGAACAAACCTAATACCAACCTATATTTAAACTAACCCAGCAAACATTGACGTTAGTTATCGATTAGAGAATGATTGGAGAAGTAGCCACATTCTCCAATCACAAACGTTAGAGAACGACTCGAAAAACTATCGAGAATCATAGCGATCTCAACAAAAATGGGACATAGTTCTCGACTCGAGAAAGTATTAATTCTTTGATCGTACTCTAATGTTGATCTCTAATGGGATATTCGAATGTGAATTTCAAACTATTGTTCTGCTTCATTAAAAAAAAAAAACGCTGTTTGTAAAGTTTGTATTTAATGTATTTGCAATAAAATAATAATGAATTATTTGAACTTGAAATAATTTATGATTCATTCATTTGGAATATTGCTTATTTACATTTATTTGAATTTGCTTTGTTTCTCTAATCTCATCGACTCGAGAACGATTAAAGAATTACCCTAGTCATCTAATGTAGAAATCCAAATTTCTCTAACGTTAGAGACTGCTGTGTTTGCTGAGTAAATCAAACTATAGATGCAGATTTTTGAAATATATCGACTCCCGCACCACCAACCGACTACATTTCTCGGAGAGTTATTTCCTTTCATGTAGGTAATATTTTTTCCAAATAACTATAAATACGGGGTTTTCAAATATCTCGACAAACATACATAATAATAATAATAATATAATAACATTATGTACTACATACAAAGCAAGTTAGATAAAGGCTTGTAAAAATGGGAATTGCTTTTAAATGTTAAAGATCGAATTATTTATTTTTATTCAAAAATTGAAAATCGGTGTCTGATGTTACGAAAAAATTGTTGGACACAATGCCACAACGGATGTAGTAAATAACGAAGTTGAAAGAAGGGCAAACTACATATATACTAACAACCGATATTTTACTTTGTTTTTGTTAATGAATTGTATGTACATACGTATCTATTTTATTTTAATTCATATTTTTATAACAATAAAAACCTGATTAAAAATTTGGTGGAACTAAAATGGACCTAATGCATTATATCTCTGAAAAATCTAAAAAAAAATTTCCATTTATAAATGACGAACACTTTTGTTATGTTCATAAAAATTGAATTAAAATATCGGCATTTATAGTACAAAACCGCGTATCAAGATAATGCAAGACATCATATGTGTGTATGTATGTGAGGTTGCTCAAATTTTACCATTCAGTATATTTAACAATAGATATTCACCTATAATAGAGCAGAATCGCATTGTCCTTTCAACCAGATACTGCCATAAACATAAGATTATATGTAAAATTTCTATTTTATTTCATTAAAATTAATACGACTTAATGGGAATGATGTCAACATTCGTAACTTTAAATGAAAATTAATTACATACATAGTAAGGCAAAGACTATTCATATTGCCGAAATAATGAAACAAATGAAAATCCAGACTTATGACTTACAGAAAGTTAAAAGAATTTATCAAAATACTGTAGAAATTACTCGTGCATTCTATTTCCAAATACCTTCAATTCTTCCAGTTCTAGTTGTTGTTTTGCTAATAAGACCTCTTCTCTTTGCAGCTTCTCTATTTCATAGTTGTGTCGACGTTGCTCCTTTAGATTATCATTCGTAACATCACTGAGTGTTTTTATTGACTTACAAACTTCCTTCAAGCCCTGTCTTATTTCATTCATAACCCGGAAATTTTCGGTTTGCAAATTGACATTTTCTGTAAGAAACTTCGTAATCGTACTTATCACAGTTGCTTGCTGTCTTAAAATCTTGATTAAGTCATCACTTTCTTCTGTTGCTGTTGCATCAATTTTGCGCTTTTTAATTTCAACCTTATCCTCACTACTATCTACTTTAATGTTTAGTCCACTTGAAGTTGGACATTGAGCGAAATCTCGCACACTTATGTTTTCAGCCTCTGTGGACTTCTCATTACTTCTATCCTCACAAGCTGCAACAGCAACATCATAATCTTTTGAATTTTCATCATCTTCTTCGTCGAACACTAACTCGTCTTTGACAATTGTGTCGGTGCCCTCAGAGATCGGACTCGAATCTTCTTGCACGTCTGAGCTGTTATCAATGTCAACATCAGCTTCAAAAAGCTTACATATACGAGCTAATTCACCTTCGGCAGGCGATAATGTAGTCTTTTTATATAATGTTTCGTCGTCCTGTGCGACTGATGCGTTGGCTTCAATTTTTTCAAACATGATCTTTCTTCTTACTGCTGCGCGCCAATCTATCCAAACCTAAATAACCATAAAAAAGATCTCGCTACACATATATGTATGTATATATTTATGTACATATGTGAATGGATTAATAACCTTCTTCCACCGCTGCATTGGTTTCTTTGGTGGTCCCCGGCTATTCAGCTTTTCTGCAAGAGCTTCCCATAACGCGTTCCGCTTTTGTTTGCACTGAATCGTACCACACGCAATTCCGGGGTACTGTTGCATGAAGTTTATCATAATGGCTTCCTGTGCGGCGTTTTTGTGACGTCCCCTTTATATGCAAATAATACAACTAGTTAATCAAATCAAAGTTGCAAAAAATAACTTACATTTCACAAATGCGTAGCTTATCCTGTCCTTCTGGCTTTTGTGTATAAAATTGTACAATGGCGTATTTTTCAATTGCCAATACACACAGAGTGGTTTAAAATATCACCAATACGCATTTTTGTCGTTTTCATTTCACACCAAATACTGAAATGAAAGAAGGGAAATGAAACAAAGGGGGTACCACTATGTCTAGTGGAATTAATTCTACATTGGGATTTTGTTATCATTGGTCTATAAATTTTACAAAGCAATTCTATTGTGGAATTAATTAAAAAAAAAACAGCATAGGCGTTGAATCCTAGTTTTTATACCAAAACGTTGTTTTTTTTTGGTTGTAGAGTTGATGATGGCCGGACACTTGGATCCAAAACGTTGTTTGCATTAGATTTTATTTACTTATAAACACCCTGTGATTTCTATAAATCCGATTTGGTCAATCACACGGCCGTATTTGTTTTTCCCTCACACGTATTCGATATGGAAATCACAAAAGTTTGTGGAAATATAAGTATTTGTTAATATTTATCAATCCAACAATGGATAAGGACTCGGATAGCACTGTAACATCACTAGATGAGAATACAGAAAATTTCTGCACCAATCCTACTCGAGATATCTTGGCAGAAGGTATCGTAAACTTGTTCAAGCCATCGGTGGAAAAATTAGATGAACATATCCAAGCACCTAGGGCTTCACAAATAGAATTGAAGAAACAGTTGGACGCACTATCAGAGCAATTGGTTGAAATTGAAAAAGCACAGCATAATATTCCAGAATTTTCGAGCAAGGTCAAGGAGTTAATTAACGTGAAGCACAAGGTAACAGTTATAACAAATATTCTTAGCACAAGTCAGGATCGTTTGGCTGGCTTGTACAAACTAATCGAGAAGGAGCAGCGGCGTAGGCAAGCTCTGTTGGATTCAGCTATAAGCACAAACATTTCTTAGAAAAGTGAAGATGGAAACACCCTACACAGACCACTTAACAGCGCCCGATTACGAGCAGGTATATGAGCCTGCAGAAGATTCGTTTCTATTGCTGCGATGCCCTAGAAGCTGATCTCCATACCTCGAAGGCTTACAACCTCGAGTTTGTTTGGAAATTGGACCCGGTAGTGGAATAATTGTAACAGCATTGGCTAAGAAATTGAATAAAACGCTTTGCTTGGCTACCGACATCAATTCATATGCATGTAAAGTGACAGAGGCGAACCAGCGAATCGCAATGGCACGCATGTCGATAGCATAAATTGTAACTTGAATGGACGCTCTACGAGAAAAGTGTATAGATTTACTTATATTCAATCCGCCTTATGTTGTAACCACAGACGAAGAGTTCAAATATCAATCACTTGCCGGAATCGCAAAAGCCAAATAATCTTGTATACTCATGGGCAGGCGGATTACTTGGTCGACGTGTTGTTGATGAGTTGATTAAGAGTCTGGATGGTATTCTATCTGTTAAAGGAGTCTTCTATTTACTGACACTTCGCGAAAACAAGCCGGACGAATTGATGCAAGATTTGACTAGCTTAGGTTTTATTGCAATTAAGTTTATGGAGAGGCGGATACCAGGGGAATATCTGTATGTTTTGAAAATAACGCGCAGGTGATTAGTTCTATGCATTTATCCCCAAAGTGATCTGCTTATAAGAAAAAATAAAAAATTTAAATAATGAAAACACATAAATAAAAAAGCACGTATTAAATTTATCTACGTTAGTACTCTACGTATTTTGAAAATTTAAAAAAACGCAATTAGACGTTTTGGGAAAGAGATTAAATAATTTCAATAATTCCATAAAAAGCCAATAATTTTAAAGGTTCATTGCACAATGTTGGTGCTCTACCAGATGAAAGTTTTATTGATGTGGTTTACACAAAGTATTGTGGTTTTCGCATTGTAATGCCATGATCGGCCAAAGCTGGTGTAAGATCTTCGACGGCCAAAGTATATCGTCGATCCTTATTCGGCTTCTTATCCTAGAAGTAAAATTGGATTGCAACAAAATCCTCAATTTTTATGTTGCCAGACAACTTACCTTGTTTGAACCATGACCACCAGAGTGTTGGCTGCTTGTTCGGGTTTTGCAGTGCTGCAATGCGTCATTGGCAATGTCGGAAATGAATTTCTGCGCTGCCACTGAAATTATACGCACAATACGAGGATCCATTGTCTCAAATCCCGCCTGGTTCAAATATCTTGCGGTAAGGGCATCTGGTACAGTTGGGATATAATCCTCCAATTGTTCCAGCAACTCGCCCAATGCCTCTCCTACTGGGGCTGGCAATGGTGGAGAGTCTTCCTGATCTACCGGAGGTGATGCTGGAGAGGGTGAATTCTCTTCGTTGCCAATTACCATTTTGTAAGAAAATGCCAATGCCTTTGGTTAACACGGGGAAAAATGTCTTTTGTTATTATTTTCTGCAGGTATTCGACGATTTATAGTNGATGCTGGAGAGGGTGAATTCTCTTCGTTGCCAATTACCATTTTGTAAGAAAATGCCAATGCCTTTGGTTAACACGGGGAAAAATGTCTTTTGTTATTATTTTCTGCAGGTATTCGACGATTTATACAAGGATTTAGTGCTGGGGTAAAATCAATTGCACTGTTTATACTATCGATAGTAATTTTTTTCAATCACTCGATTTTGTTTTGCACTATCGATTGTTTATACAAATACACCACACAAGCGGCTCGACCATGCAAGAAAAATATCCCTTTGCTTCAAGGTATTTGAGTTGTGTGGTCGTTCGCTGGTTTGACAAGCCGTTTGAGGGACATTTGAACCAAAATCGAACTTTTTTGATATTCTAGCTGCCATGTTGACGCAGTTTATGTCTGCACAGACAGTCACTCACACTGTCTGTGTAAAATCAAAACATTTTTAGTTCGGTTGCCGATGCAAAGTAACAGTAAAGCTGAAATTAGTCAAGAACGTAAACCTACCGGTACGTAAACCCGAGTCAGCTGACACGATCTGTCTTACCAAAGCGCCATGTAAATGAAAACTCAACACCGCAGAATTTTTCTGTAGTTGTAGCCCGTAGCGCAGAAATCTGCGGAACTTAGATTTTTCCGTGTCAGCTGATTTCTCCTTCTTTAGATGGTTGCCACTTCGTCAGTTTTACAGATGGTAAAAAAGAAATAAGTTTCTACTCAAAATATGTTTAAAATATTTGAAATTTACTATTGAATAAGGTTTTTTTTTGAAAACTAAGTAGTTTATATTTAGCTAAAATCTATAATAGCACGAAAAATTGTGGTTGAAAGGGTAAGTTTATGAAAAGGCATTGATGAGTGGCAACAGTGTAGTAAGCAACACTGAGGGCTCCAGTAATCGACAAAATTCTGCGTATACAGTCTGCGTTTAAGTATATGTTCTGCGTTCTCGACTAATTTCAGCTTAACACGTAACAGCAACACAAATGCATAAATCAGTGTTTTGACGACGTCATTTTGTCAGTATCGTTTCAAAGTTACGTGATTAATGCCCAGTTTTTATGGAGCAAGATTAACAATTTTAGTTAAAATTAAAAAAAATCAGGATAACCACACTCAGATGATCAATATACACACACCACAATATTGTGGGCCTGTTCGAGGCACGTAATAAAAGCGGCAATACTGCAACGCTGATGAAAATTTGCAAGACTGTTGCAACTTCCAAAATGATAAAACGTTACTAGAAATTGACACCGAACGTGGTACTTTAACAGGTTTGTTCCACACGAGCCCGCGGGTGCCCAAAACAGCCCAGAAAGCGTTCCTCACGCTAGAAAAATGGATAATAGAGAGCGAATATGTTCCACTTTTGGATTGTAAATGTCTTCTTCTTTGTGCACGAAATAGCCTGGACTTTTTTTCCGGGCACAAATGTGCAAAAGGTCAATTTGAAATAACAGCTGTTGTTGTTTAAATCCGAAAGCAAATTTTATAAAAAACAAAAGTGGAAAATATCACAGAATTTTAAGAAAATGTGGTTATTTGGTAATTTTGTTAGCCATATAAGATAAATACATGTAAAATCATTGTTTAGAGCTGATATGTTGAATCCGGCACGAAATGTGGTTTCTTGCGTGCCTCACGCTCTGGGCACTTTTGGCGCGTGTTGGCACATTTTTGACTCTTGTGAGAGAGTAACTTATTTTTACGCTCTAATTACCGGAGCAGCCCGGAAAGCGTGGGGAACGAAGCTAAAATTCGCGCAACACTGCGGTTGTGATTAGTTGCGTTCCAGATGCTTCACGATTTGCAGGTTTTTACAGGAAGTCGTTCCAGGTGACCACCTCCCATAAGGTTTATTAATGGAGAAAACAGCTGTTCCTGCAAATCGTGAATTTCGTGAATATCGTGAAGCATCTGGAACGCAACTATTGCGACACGAACAAGCCCTGTGTATCAGCTGTTAACTTGTATACCAGCCCAACTTTGATGAGCCTCGATCGATAGTTTTGTAGCAGCTCAAAGAATGTAAAATCAGAAAAGTTTTTTTTTGTCGATGAATCGAAATTTGTCGATAATTGTTTTTTGGTTTTTCTGCAAAATATTTCATGTAGTCCCTTTATTTTCAAGACGGAACGGATTTGGAACATGTAAACATGCATATCTGAAACTGGCACTGACATTTGAAGTAAACAAATGAATTGAACTGAAATGTCAAGTAAACAAGTGAATTGAAAACATTGGAGACTATTGTGATACCTAGATTTGCTTAAATTATAAACCAAGTTAAAATGATCGGCACAAATTTCGGCATCTTCCGTCCACATTCGTCCAGCTCGATTGCTGGTGGTTCAGGTGCCACAGCTATGCCAGAAGAACGTGCAGTCGTTCAACAGTTGAGCGATTTCATGTTACAACTGGAGGATTATGTACCAACAGTGCCTGATGCAGTGACAGCTTGCTATCTAAATTCTGCCGGATTTGAATCAAATGATCCCCGCATTGTGCGCTTGATATCGGTAGCTACTCAAAAGTTTATTTCCGATGTCGCCAATGATGCACTGCAGCAATGTAAAACTCGTTGCAACAGCCAAAACGTTGCACAAGGAACTCACACACCGGTAAGAATGGGAAAATAAATTTATCTTCTAAATATATTAGACCTTCTCAAATTTTACAAAGGGTCCAAAGGCAACCAAAGATCGCAAATACACGTTGACTATGGAGGATTTGGCACCCGCCCTTGCAGATTACGGCATAACAGTGCGCAAAGCACAGTATTTTCCATAAGCATTAACCTCATATATGAATTATCATGGCTTCTTTTATTGTACGTTATTAACACTGTCTTTTCATATCGAAATAAAGTCGGAAAATAAATGAGTAAAGTTGATCATCTTAAAAATTAGTTTAGCAGCTTGGTCGCCTAAGCAGTCTAAATGAATTGATTGCAGTTACATTTATAGTCAATGCCAACAGTGTTTAAATACATTAGTATAGATTAATACATATTTCTTCTCGTCTCATTGACACTTTACAAATCGAACAAGCGAAATTTTGCTTCCTCCAGCTACTTTAAATGCCAAAACCGCTGACGCTAACAATATTATGTAGGTGGGCAGTAATGTGGCTGCGTACATCAATTGTGCGTTGAGTAATGTTATTAGCGATACGAAGAGATGCGTGCTAATGACGTAAGCTATATGAAAGTAGTTATTGATATCAAAAGCATTGAAAAATATAACACTCCAGAAAGTATGGAGTAGTATCATTGCGAGAGCTTGTATCGCCGAAGTTATTAGGAACACTTCCGATCCGCCTTTAAGACCCATAGTACCCGGACCCGACTATAAACCAAATCGATCAATCATTATTGCAAATATATACATATATCCAGAATTTTAAATGTCTTCTCACCAAATCCGCAAGTAAATTGACCAATGCAAACATGCCAGATATTATACCGAATCCAAGACCTGACACATAAGCCAGAATATGCTTATTTTCGATTATACCCGGATTATCAGATACCGCTTGAAGTCCTTGTTCAGTGCGTCTCAGAATACGATAGATAATGTAGCGAAATCCTTCTTGAAATAGCACTGAAAATGTTACACCGAACCACAAGTAATCTCTCAATGGTACCAGAGCAAACCACAGCAAGGCAGATGCCAGAAGTGCTACTAGCCAAAAGAAGGCGGCAGCGATGAGGATAATTATTCGTATGGAATCATTTGCTATTGTGAAAACAAACATCGCTAATGGTGTACCGAATGCGATGAAGCCACAGCCAAAAATTTCCGGAAGCGTCATTTTCTTTGTTAATACGTTAATTTAATGATGATAGGATGCCAAGTAAAAAGTGCACTATTTTATCTGCAAATGAAATTGTTGTTGTATAAATAGTGAGGTTACCAAACAAAATTAATTATGTTGTGTTTTTAAATTTGTATATCGATAACGTGAAATCCGAAGTATGTTTGTATATGGAAATTACACAATTTGTATAGTTATTTTGATTAATATATGAAAAGAATTATGTTTAGATATATAAAATAGTTTATGGTGTACATGCTACAAGTTTTTATAATGAAAACATTGCTTGCGGCTTTCGATTAATTTAGAAATGCATACTTCAATATTGAAGTGTCTTCAAACGCCGGCTGGCAGCACCAACGCTTGCAAATAACGTACGTTCTTGCTTAGTGCAGGCGCTAATTCATTCATTTCATACACAACTTGTATCACAGTATAGACAGTAACCAACCTTTTTGGATTGTCGTTGTAGTAGTCGTTGTTGTTGTAGCTATATTCACTCCTGAGGAAGGCACGGGGTTGTGTGCTGCTATTTAATGGCCTTCCTCAGACTTTTTCTTCGATTTCAGGGTTGTGTGCTGCATTATTATTAGATAAATAAATTTAAGCATTTGACAAATCGCGATTTTATTAAAAGAAAATTATAAATGGTGTTGAAAAACCAAACAAACGCTCGTGCGAAAGCTCTATTTTTGTGTGTTGTTAAAATTTATACATGGCGTATTGATGGTAATACAAGCAATGTATTCTTTTGTGGATTTTATGTTACTTGAGAATTTAGACAACGTGCGAGGTTGCCTTTTAATAAATAGAATAAAGAAATATTCGCAAATAAATTGGATTTATTTTATAACTGACAACTAACGTACGCTTTTTGTTCTTTTCTCCATTTTGATTTTGACTCTTTATTACCGCCAACAACTTTATGTGTATACATATTTACAAGCTGTCAAAATTTTGCGTAGTCCCACGAGCTAGGTAAAAACTATGACATTCGTATTCACAACGAGAAATCTCAAAATTTTTGTTTGGTCTTTCCAAATTTTCTCTTTTTTATCAGTTGGCAAAGGCCCTCAGTGGCAGCGCTAACTGTAATTCCATGTGAATTAGTAGAAAAGTTCCATGTTGAAAAAACTTTTTATTATGGCGAGAAAATTTTACATTTCTGCTGTGCCAATTCGTTCCTTTTTACTGCTGGAAATTTTTGACAGTTGCTCTG